TTTAAAAGTATGCACATTTCCTACCTTATTTGTAAGTGAAATTAATCTCCAATCCTTCTTGTATCGTTTCAAGTTTATCCATTATTCCAATGCAAGAAAAATATAGCAGGTTTTCCAAGTAAAAACCGCCAAATAACATTTATACGTAGTTACATTATGATACTAATCAGAGGGTGGGGGGATGGGGGGATGGGGGGATTCCCCCGCTCTATATCTCTGTATCTGCTAAATAATTTTTTTTATTCCCAGTGAATAGGAGTTAAAATTCCCACCAGGGTGACACTAATAACAGACCATGCAAAATACCAAATAAATATTTAAAATATTGCAAAGTAACGTTGCAACCTTACAAACAATAATAAAATCAGAGAAGGACTTTAACTGTAAGCGACATGAGCATACGCAAAACAAAGGGAACAATATGATGTTTGTTATTATTAAAATTTTATGTAGCCCATGTTTTTAATTTGCCGCTTAGGCAATAATGTTGACAATAACATATATCTTCAACATACGTTGTCTATGACCAAAAATGTAAGAAGATAAGTTTTCAGTGGACTTTTAAAATTTGCTTTGCTTGAGAAAACACAAATATACAGTTACAGTTTTTTTTTTCTTTTCTTTTGATTTAGTCGAGTTGGTTTTGCATCAAACACAATGTGATTTTCGGCAATCGAGATCTGACAGCAACAGCACATTTTTCCGCTTGGGCGAGTGCTTTGCGGACAGCTTACCTCACACATTAAATCTGCCGCAGACCAGCAAATCACTGAGAACGCGCATCAATCCTGGCGACTCATAGCAACAGAGCGAAGACGAGAAAGCTGCGGAGAATCCGCTCGCCCGGAAGCAACCGCAACTGGTAGAAGAAAATTACTGCCGTTTGGCAAATAAATCATTGTACGTACTTATTCCTAACTTATTCCAAAGCTTTAAGTTACATTTCAAATGACAAGGGATCAACTTATAATCATGTTTATATGAATTATCCCGTGAACTTATTCTCTCAAATGGCCTGGGTATGCGGAGCATTCGCAGCTTAAGTGGACAGAACGCCACTGATATACACACTCATACAACAAATCTCACCTTACTTAAATGCCACTGCAGCATACAGTACACATGTATGCATGGTTTTATCATTTGTCTTAGTTACTTTTTATATGTTTGACTGATGTCAGTACTGTTCTGCTGTCTCAGGAGCGTCTTTCTATAGGATGTGTCCCAGTACACATTATGGTTATGCTGCTCTCTCTGGCCTGTATAAACTCGTAACACGTCACATACACCAACAACTGAGGGAATTATTTATCACTCGCCACGGACTCAGGAGCCGAAACACAACGGCAGAGTTGAAATGCATTCTCTAATTAACATTGCTGATGAGGTTTCCTTACATCTGAAGACTGTTAATTTGAAAATGGGTCACAGATCGTCAACAGTGACAGAACTGACAAATAAACAAGAGTGCGACAAATAGGATAAATAAGTAAATTATACATTTAAGTTCATGTGAAAATGAAAAGCCTGCTTAATGAAATGCATTCAAATCACTCAGTTTCCAGCAATATTTGATGGGTCTGCATGACAAATCATCGGTCCACTACCTCACATGCTCTTGACATGAGCTATCTGTGATAGTAATACTCCTCAGAGGAAAACTGTAGAGAACATGTCGTCTCATCCATTAGCTTCTATCCTCCATGTTAGACTCGCGTCTCTGTGGAATGGGATGTCCTCTGATACGCCAGCTGGTGAAGTAAAGAGCTGTTCTGACTGCCAGGAAGTCGGAAATGCTTTTGATGTTATAAACAGAAATTAAATGCCAGCCATTTTTGTTTTATATATAGAAAAATTCATCTTTAGCTAACATCGGTATGCCTGTGAAAAGCAGTTAAATTGAGCTGATTGTGATTGATTTATGAAACAGGAAGACAATGAAGCACTGCTCTTGGTTGAACTTAAGGTGCTATAGCTCTTGGTGATTTATTCATTAACCTGTAGACACACAATTAGTGAGAGATGCTCGCTGGCATTTACCTTGTTAGTCTATTTATCATGTCCAATCTTAGTCTAGGTCAGTGGTTCTCAACTGGCTTTTCCCCGGGAGTAGATTTTTTCATTGGTCACCATGTGAGCCAACACAGAATCAAAATTGTTTATTGCACAAACATAAGAAAAAAAAACTAATGAAAATTGCATAGTTTTACATAGTTTTGTTCAGGGTTTCCATGGATATATGGTACCATAGGTATATTTTCCTGTAGATTGAATAGGAAAATGTAAAATAGAAAATGTTAAATAAATAAAATAAAAATATTTTATTAATTGATTCAATATTTAAAAAATATATAATTTTCATATTCTTGACCACTTTTTTACATTAAGAGTACCTTTGATTTCATTAAACCCTTAAAAAATTTAACTCAAAATGAATATTTTTATGTGGTGCCTAAATTTACATTTAACATTTAAAATGATTCATTTTAGTTTTAGTTTAGTCTTTTATTTTTATTTGATTGGATAAATCAAATTTGGAGTGATTTATGGTTATTGTACGTTGAATGAAGATAATTATCTTCTTATCAGTATCAGCCATAATTTCAATAGCGATGTGTCCCTACTTTTTGTAAAAACAGTAGTACATCATATTTTTATTATTTGCATTTTTTTAAAATGTAGTATTATTTATTGCATTTTTATGTATATTAAGTGTTGATTTTCTTGGCTGTCTGTAGCTCTCTTGGAACAGACCTGAAACTAGTTTTTGAGAACCAGTAGTTTAGAACCTGGTTTTAGACAGCGGCATCTAATGCATCAAATAGACAGTAATACTAGTGCCTTTCTTAATGCAAATGTAACACTTAAAATTCTCACAAATTCTTACAAGAGGATCAAACATGACAAAATGTGTCATTTTGTCAAAGTTTGGAAGCATTGGAACAGTGCAGACTCACCATTTGTTTCCCTTCTAAGCCTCCAGCCATCATTTCAAAACCAATCCACAAGCAATCAATCAATGTCAAAACATGAAAGTGCGGACTAGTGTAAGCTGTGGTCTGCTGCCGCATGTAGGCGTTTTGTGTCTCTTCTCTGTGCTTAGGCTCTATCATTTCTGCAGATTAGCAGCAGGCCTGAGGTCATTGACCTGTGTTAAAGGGGTCATATGATGCGATTTCAAGTTTTCCTTTCTCTTTGGAGTGTTACAAGCTGATTGTGCATAGATAAAGATCCCTGAAGTTGCAAAGACTAAAGTCTCAAAACAGAGCAGACTGCGCTTGTCAAAGGAGGGGGCTTTGTAGAAAACGAAGCGTTTGAGAGAGGCGGGGCATATAGGACCTACAATAATGTACAGTATTTGAAAAATAATGTGTTTTTTGAACATTAAAGCATGTCAACATATTCTGTTACACCAAATACACAAAATAATGATCTTTAAAAAAGAATCATATGACCCCTTTAACAAACAAGAATTCATACTAAGAGGATTCTGAATGGATCCTCTTCTTGGTTCATTCACAAGCTTTACTGGCATTTAAAGGACGACTGTGTGTAGGAGGTACAAGGGACCTTTTAACATTTTATTTTGTCATTATTTTGCTTTGCAAAGGTCATGTTTAATATTTTCAAGCATTATGAGCGTGTGTGAGGTACATCGAGGACCTCTAGGTGTGTGTTCGTTACCATACGCGAGTAGTTATTTACGCTGAGGTTGATTTATTCAGGCGTTTAGAGCAGGGTGCACAAGAAGCCCATTCATCATTAGTGCATTTGTTTTAATGCGCCCCTCCTCTCAGGGGCATTTGGTCAGTACTTTCCAGGCTCCTGATCGTTCAGATCAGGTGGCACAGACAGATGCGTCGTCCTCCACCTGCTGTCCCTGCCCCTAACCTCCCATCTGTAATGCACTCTTCTCCGGCGGCCATGTTGTGCAGTGTTTTATCACAGATCGCTTGTGTTTTTCCGTGCGAGTTTATGAAGCGGGAAAGGGGGGGGGGGGATTCACTCCTGTGGCCCATTAATGGCTGGAAAGGCTCTTTTGCCTGCCTGTGATTGGGATTTCTGAAGCATCATCAATAAGCTTTTATTGCATCCGCATACCATTATCTTCTTCCTGGCTAAGGCTAAAATGAAATCGAAACTGAATTAAAAGAGGGTTGTCGTGAACACTTCACAGTCTGGTGCTCGGGTTTATATCACAGGGTTTTGGCCTTGTGGAGGAGAGAGGGAAAGAGCTGTGCCCCACATTCTGAGAGGGCAGGAAATGCTCTGTTATTTGATTCCATTCATTTTGATTCCGTTTGAATAGTAAAACGACACCGGGAAGCTCAAATGATTACATACCCACTATAGTACAAGATAAATATAATAAGGATATGTACTTTTCATCTCGAGACACCAAAAGTGTGAATGTCAAAGTTTCTTTGACAAAGATGTAACAAAGTTCGTAGTCACGGGAAGAATGAGGCGGGAACCGGCAAACGTTTAAAGACTTTAATAAAATAAACAAACACAAAATGAAAGTAAAGCGGCAGCCCCTCGCGGACGACTGCCGCACACAAAACACAAAATAAAATCCAGGCCTGGTCCTCTCTCGGCCAAAACTGTCGTCACTCCTCCTTTTATCCTTCCGGAGCTCCTCCGTGGGACTCGAGACCGGTGAGTGGCGCAGGTGTCGTGCATTAGCATTTACTCCACCGGCCTCGCTCCGTTCCCACGGCTCTCGGCCCCGCCCCTCTCATCACAAAAGACTTCACAAAAATGACACAGGTTTATCCTCCATAAAAATGTATTCAAAATGAGCGTAACAACTGAAATTGCAATTAATTTATTTAAAATCTGGAATTATTTGTTTTTATTTATACTGTAATATCATGAATTTTAATCACGACACAGATGCCAGAGGAGACTGATGGTTATTTGTTAAAAATGCACCTGATATAGGCAAAGACATGAAGTTTATTGCATAAATAACCAATCATTATCAGTAAACTCTCAAACTAAGCTTTTAGTGTCACTTTAGTGTCATTGAACCTGCTTGTGATTAATGCAGCAGTCAAAGAAAGGATTTCACATTTAGTCAAAATATTGCATTTTTGAAGGATTTAACAGCAATGAACAAGTGGAGTTCATCAATACATTGACGAGTACGTGTTAGATAGAATGGGGATTTTTTATTTTATTTGTTTGTATTTTTTTATTTTATTTTATTTTACAAATGCAAATATTACATGTAAATGTGAAATAATTAAAATCCTACCAACAAATTATATATAATTTGTTATATATAATTTGCAGCTCCAGTCAGGGGCGACGGTATAGGGTTTCTGGGCCTCTTGTACAAATTTAGTAGAAAATTGTGATAATAGTCGATGCTGTTAATGTGATTACAGCATCTACCCCTTGTCCGACACTCCTGTTTCTAATAGCAATACACAGTAACATGCAGTAAACAATGTGATATAGAATTATAATTTTTGCTGTTAACTCACTGGAAGTCTGTTTTTCTTCTCTTTTCACATAAAGGTTGTGTACAAGAACAATGATGTAAGGCTCGAGCTGTCTCGACTGGCCAAGCTAGGCGACCCCAAAATGAAGGTGAGCGGTGTGGTGGCCTTCAAATGTGAGAACGTGGCTACCCTAGATCCTGTCACCTTCGAGACGCCAGAGTCATTCATTACCCTTGACAAGTGGTCCGCCAAAAAAGCCGGTTCCATCTCCTTCGACTTCCGCACCACTGAGCCCAACGGGCTTCTCCTCTTCAGCCACGGAAAACCCAAACCGCAGCAGCAGAAAGACCCCAAGAGCCCCAAAACCTTAAAGGTGGATTTCTTCGCCATTGAAATGCTGGACGGCCACCTGTACCTTCTACTCGACATGGGCTCGGGCACCACCAAAACCCGTGCCGTCAACAAAAAAGTCAACGATGGGGAATGGTACCACGTGGACTTCCAGAGAGACGGAAGATCAGGTAGAATTTGGCTCTGTGACTTAATTGTACAGCTGTTCTTTTGTTCTGCTAATGTATTCAATGTATGGTTAGATGTTGGCTGATATTCAAGGTCTACGAAATATTGACATAGCCGAGACAGCAGTGTTCTCTCACGCTCGCGTGAACACAATCGTAACCGTGCCTTCCGGAGCACACTGTGAGGCAGGCATTTGAATATGAACAGGACCCGCAGTCCTTCCTGTCTTCCTCCTTCTTTCTTGCTCTGTCTTCTCTGGCGGAGTTGCCATGGAAACCAGATTTGGTTTCCCAAAGGAGAGAGCAAGTGCACAGCTCTGCCAAGTACAGACATTCATCCCTAACTCTCCCGCTATTCCCCTTTTCCTCGCATGTCAATGGCGTTTCGCTGGAGTCAAAGGAACGGCTTTTGGTACCCGTTCATTTTCTCGTTTCTGTGAAAAAGTGGAAAAAGGCTCTATTGATCTGTGGTTATTGCGAATCTCTAGTCTTCTCTTTCCGGATATAGAAACGCCAGTCACCTGCATTAGTTCTGACATATACTGTGAGATTAAATTGTGAAAGTTATAAGGAGAAAATTAAATAGCTTTTGGAGCAATTATGAAATCAGATTTATAAAATAAGAGTGGTATTTTTGTTTCATGCCAATACAGTATTCAATTGGGATTGGATACAGTTTTGTTAGGAGCGCAGGTCTTTTTTTTTCCCCACGGTTTTAAATTGTATTTTTCATAAAATCATCATTTTTATCCACAGGGCTCAGTTTGATCTTATTCTCCAGGCTTTATCCGCTGCACAATCCAGTGGCTGTCATTGTGAGTTCAGGCACATTTTGAAAGAGGGAATAAACCTTTTCTCTTAGTAGCATTTCATGGGAATCTGAAACACCATTGACAGATGGGACCTTGCATTTCAGGCCCGCAGAATGAGCTGTGTCACTCTCCCGCCTGCGTGAATTGGCTGCCTACGCAAGCCGTTTGATCATATATGGGCAGCTGTCCTGGTGCAGGGTGTGCGCGTGTGTGGGCATGCTGGTGTTTTTGCATGCGTGTATGCAAACATGTACGGTTGTGCGTCTGCATATGCATCTATTAATGAGAATGTGCATATGTACACGGATAGATGTGCGTCAGGGGCGTTTTTGTGCCTCCACAAAAAAGTAGGATGACAGAATATAGAAATATGAGATTGCGTGGTGTATAAACCACTTATTTTTCTAAAGTGACTCTGTCCAACAGTCAGCCAGGCCACTAATTGGCCTGAATGAATGGGTCAAACTGGTGTAAATGGACAGGCTAAGTACAAAGTAAACACACCCAGTCAGACATCACCACTTTTGGTCACTTCTGAATTGAAACAAACTGGAAGTGATGATCTATGAGTGAGGATTTAGTGACCACTCAGCTCAGTTAAATGAAAGCTGCACTTCCGTGCCTGCGACTGACATGAGACCTGCAGTGTTTACAGAGGATTTGTTGACTAATGGTCCAAAAAGGTGACTATTAATAATTATAGCCAAACATCAGTTACCAGTAACAAGTCACATGAGTCTTAATACTATACTACTGCAGTTCTTACTTTTTCAGAAATATTAAATATTGTTTAAACTTGATGAGATTTTAATGTGACTTGGTTTTAAAACATAGTGTGAAGTCATTAACTCTATTTGTATCTGTTGCTTTGACAAATAATCTGTTCTGCATCTGTATTCATATAGAAATAGATGTGGGTGGGGCTGAAACCAGATGTGTCAAAACTAAATGAAGAGCCCATTTTTAACCCATTTTTAAATTATACAATTTAAAACTTAATAGTTTATACAGTAACAAGTATTTATTTGAAATAAATCTCTTATGAAGACTTATTTGATCAAAACTCATATAAATGCAGTAAAATTGTGAAAGAATTTTTGCGTATAACATTATTCCAGTCTTCAGTGTCACATGAACTTTTGAATGGTAGTGTAGTTTCCATATAGCAAATATTCATTGTATAATAAATGATTTAAATGAAGAATTATTCTTTTAAAAAATGGAAAAAGGGGGAAAATTGTAAAATATAGTCTTAGTGTCATTTTACTCACCATTGCATTGCATTTTTTTAGCTGTTTTTGAGCCCTTCAGAATAAGATACTTGACTTCAAGCACATCCCTAAGAAATAGTATGTTAATATAATGCATACAAAAAAAATATTATAGCATTGATTGTTTGTTGATAGTGTAAGATAAATTGCATTCCATACACGTTTCAAGCCAACACCATGTAAACATCAAATTAACTGGAACATGAATTTACATTGGGATGTAAAAACCAAATGGGACTTTGCCTCCTTTTTCAGAAATCCACTCTACTCCACTGGTGTGTGTATATTTGTGCGTGTGTACATAAAGTAAAGCCAGCCCAGCATTAGGCCATTCAATGTAATCACTGAGCAGAGTGAATGGAAGTCGAGATGATGGAGAATGCTCATTACTGATGACCCGGGGGAGATGTCTGGCTGCTGTTTAGGGGTGCAGTCGCCAAGTGCGCAACACAGGACAAGATAATGTGTGTGTGTGTGTGTGTGTGTGTGTGCGCGTGCGTGCGTGCGTGCGTGGGTGTGTGGGAGTGCGAGAGGAGGAGAAAGTGCCACTATGCCTCATCAAATCCACACAGACTTATTACAGGCTTAGAGGAAAATGAAATTCTTATTTACTAACACTGTTAGCATTTTACAAGTGGCATCTCTGCAGTGATGTATCAAGTGGAATAGAACGGAAAGCACTATTTCAGCGTATTCATATTAGAAGCGCTTGGCAGGGAACGAGTTACACGGAGCATAATTATAATTTACTGTGCCACCTTGTCTGGCCGTTTAGTGTTTCTGCCATTTCTTTGGGTTTGCCTGTGAATAATGAGTCAGATACAGGAGGCCGTAATCAGTCTATGGAATCACATTTAATCTCAAAGTGAATTTTTCTCCCTCTCGAGGTATGTGACGCAGATCTGAGTTCAGGCCCAGAGCTCTACATCACAGACTGGAAAGCAAAGCAGAACGATACTGCAGCCATTCATTCAAATCCCACAATAGCCATTAATGATGAAAATAAATCATAGATCTGAGAACAAATAGATCCTTTACTGGAGCTTGGCACACATATAAATGCACATACTCACTAACGGTGCTGCCTTTTTTTCTGTGATCTATTCACAGAGGAATTATAATGAAAATCCATACATTTTTGGCCAATGTTTGTTTAGATTTTAGAGGCATTTATAGTCCAAGTTAGCATTTGCAAACTGACTTAAAGTCACAGGTCACCAAAAGATAAAAAAAGTCATACCAGTAATAGTAATACCAGTCAAATTTGACCTTGTGGAGTGATTTTTTTGGTCCCCATGAGAAAACAAGCTTATAAATCATACAGAATGATCTAAAATGAAAGTTTTCTGTAAGGGGTAGGATTAGGGGAAGGGGGAACAGTTTGACCAGTATAATGCATATATAAGCCAATGGAATGTCCCCATAAAACACTGTCCTTTGTAAATAAAAATATATACTGTAACTGCACACTAAGCTTATTTTTACTGATATTTCAGCAACAAACATTTGTCAAGGTATAGTTTCCTCAAAATAGAGTTTTGTAATAAGTAAAGTATAAAATAAAATAAAGTAAGTAAAGTTGATAATGGATTAGTAAAGTCAGTAATTACTCACAGGTGAAAAATGGTAACATCGCAATCAGTGTTCAATAATTAGTTAATAACAAACCTGTCTTGATATATTAAAACAATTAAGGTCACAAACTGATCTGTTTGTCATATTACATTTCCTACGTAGACAAACTTAACAAACAATGAAGCATAAATAAGTCCTAAAAGACCACCACCACATGAAAAAAGTTCCCATAAACCAGCCACATACCCATACCCAACACATCTACGATTATTACGGGAAACTGCTTGTTGCCCAAACATTGGTAAAAAGTATTTTTCCCTAACATGCACCTCCATGAGATGTGTGTTTGCTTTAGTGCTTCGTTAAATGAGCTGTACCTTTAACATGTCGCATGCCTTACAGTACCACCTCCAGCTGACCCCTCGGTTACAGTCACACTAATTTGCCTTTATAACAGAAGCTGCATTTTTGTCACTAAAGAAATAAGGTTTTGGCACTGAAAAGGTGGCATCTTTAATTCTAAGCCGCCTTTTATTGAGTTTGGACTGACTGTTGGACACTAATAAACAGGATTCAGCAGTAGCCTGCGCTTTGCGTTAATCCCTGCCCATTCTCTCCTATCTTGCCAGTAATGGCTTTTCTTTTGTAACTGCCTTCAAGGCGTGAATAATGGCAGTGCACAGTGGTGGAAAATGAGAAGGAAAATTCTGAATTGCCAGCTGCGTTTAAATGCCTGTTTGTTGGAGCCGCCAGGAAAACAATGAGGGTGATTATGGAACTCGTGAAAGTGTTTTAACATTATTAGACTGAATGAAAGACTCGCCTCACCTGAGAGCACTGTGTTTTTGCTCTTTATATTAACCACTGTTGTAAAAGCGGTATTTTAGACGTAAACCATAAAAGAAGAGGACGGACTGAAGCATGCTTTGAAAGGGTACACAAATCATTTGTGACAACTGAATCAGTCACAACCAATAAATTAGATATGAATAGTGCTCAGCGTTTATTCTGTCATGTGTCCTTTTGAAAACGATGACTATCCAGTGAATCTGCAACATATTGTCTACTGTTGCTATGGAGACTGTTTTTGAATCTTTGTCTTTGTGTAAGGGTTTGCACTAGGGCTGCATGATTAATCGAATGCGATTGTCATGCGCATTTTGTTAGTAAAGCCGGTTCTGTAATCAGCAGGAAATCATCATCACGTGCTTTCAGATGGAGCAGAATTTACTACACATAACCGTAGTTCACTGACAAGCACTCTCAGTTCAAGACAACCCAAAACTGATTATAATATGAAAGCATGTGCACATATATGAATGTTAATCCCTCTGTGATGTTTTTGTGACTGCGAGGCCCCATTTCCCATTTCAATATGTAACATTTAAATGATTATTATATACATCCAGTAATAGTATACACACAATATAGTACTGTACAGAGGACTTTATTATACAGATTCCCTCAACAAAACGATGTTTGTAATGAAATAAAAATTTTATAATGAATAAGAAATAGTAAACAATCATTTTGAATATTATTTAAATAAGTCTGTCTATTCCAACAATTTGAATACATTAAATAAGTGCATACCTTAACCAGAAATTATGCTAAAGACTTCTCAATGTGCCGAAGGCCCAAATTTTGTCCCGGGCTTCCTGTTTTTTCAAGCTCCGGTCTTGTTCATAACTCATATTTTTGCTATTGACATCTATATCAAGCTGATTTGATCATCCGCAGAATGATTTTATACTCGACACATACCTACAAATGCAAAACTGACAAATCAGTGCTATAGGCGCTGTTCTGACAAATGGTGACAAAGTGTTGCTCAGAAATCATCTTTCACACTTCCAAGCTTAAACATGAATATACAGTAGCTACATCATTTCTGAATTCACTTTGAGGAGACTGAAACTGAGAGATTTTGTGTGCTTTGAAAGCAAAGGGGGTTTTATTTAGAGGAAAGAATGAAGGATCATTTCAATACCCTTAAAGAGCCTCATTTGCATAGTCTGTAATTTGCATATATAATTTCTCATTAAAACTGAATCAAACTTTTTAGACGTTGCTGAAATAGCATCTAAACATCAAGTTAACGATATTAAATTTGCTCCTTCTGGTGTTGTGATAGGCACCATTTCCATCAACTCGATCCGTACTCCCTACAACGCTCCCGGTGAGAGTGAGATCCTGGACTTGGACGACATACTCTACTTGGGCGGCCTGCCAGAGGACCGTGCCGGTCTGATCTTCCCTACGGAGGTCTGGACTGCGCTCCTAAACTACGGTTATGTGGGCTGTGTGCGAGATCTGTTCATGGACGGCCAGAGCAAGGACATCCGGCGTATAGCGGAGGCCCAGAGAGCTGTCGGGGTGAAGCCGTCCTGCTCTAAGGAACCTCCCAAACAGTGTCTAAGCAACCCCTGCCTGAACAGCGGCACCTGCAGAGAGGGCTGGAACCGATATGTATGTGACTGCTCAGGGACGGGCTATCTGGGACGCTCCTGTGAGAGAGGTGAGTACCTATATTTTGCATGTAGAGTCTAGATTTTGATCTTACATTGTGTCACTTGACAATCATTTCTATGATGGCCATGACTGACAACAGTTTTGATGTAAGCTTGGCTTCTGTTTTCTGTTTTTGTAGTCCCGCCCACAGTGAAATCTCATTGGTGTAAAATCTACCTTCACATAATAGTGGCCCACAAAAGTATTTAATCATATTTGGTCACCTAAGCCACACTTAAAATATATGAATTGCATTGTATTAGAATACAATTTTATTTAAAAAATAGATTAAATAGTCTGATCTCAAAACAAATGATGCAAGAACTTTTCTACTTAACATGTTTTTATTTTAACCACTTGCAAGAGAGTGATTTATTTTATTTTATTTTTTATCTAACAAACTTACTTTTAATGGCAAGACACTGTAGGCAAACCCATTGTTTTCACAGCCCTGACAATTTTGAGATTTTGGGCGATTTTGCTTCTATAACTTGTCTTATTTCAGACTTGTGGAAAGAAAAACTCCAAAGTACACATTTAAGTGTTTATTTTATAGCACTTTATATATTTCAATCTGTATTCTGGTATTGCCTATTTTGCATCTGATTTCAAATACATATCTGTTTTCTTAAAAGCACTATATACACTAAACATTTTATTCCTATACACTGTAAAAAATGACCGTGAATTTAACGGTAAAAGACTGTAAAAATGCTACAGTAAAATCCTGTTAAATGGTTAACGGTAAATTCCCCTACTATATACGGTGAAAACCTGTATTGGACATTACATGTATTGGACATAAATTTTACGGTAGTATACCGTATTTGGAAGTGAAAAAGACCGTATAATTTACAGTATTCTGAAGATTTTTACAGAGGGGTTTGTTCATATATCATTCACCTGATATATATTTAACATTTTATACCCTAAAAAAACATGGTGAGATTTTTTTTTCTAGCTGTTGACAGTATTTTCTGATGTATGGAGTGAAAAAAAGATATCCAAAATCACCTCTGTAAAAACCTTTAATATGTCAACAAAATGAGAGAGAAAAAAAGAACATATCTTTATCCAGTGTTCAGAATTCTGTTCTGGAAATATATGCAAATTAGTGCATAGTTCATTTGCATAGTTAAACATAACATTTCAGAAAATGTGTCATACAAAACAAACGCCTTAATGTACTGTGATTAATTAACTGGGGAAGAATGGTGATATCTGTTAGTTAAAATATTTATCCTATTCACCTTAAATGCTTTGTTTGAGAAGTGCACCATATTTCTATCACATAAATGCCACTTGGTTTGATTTTTTTATTTATTTTTTTTAAATATGAGGCATTCATATGTTTTGAAGTGTGGCTTAAATAGCCAAATACTTTTTAGGGATACACATCATGTATGTTCTCCTTAGCTGTGATTTTGTTGCTTAGTGCATTCTTTCTCTTTCACTGAGGTCTGAAGTAATCTATGAAAGATCTATATGCTCATTCTTTCTCTCATGAGGTGTAAAGACGTGGCACTCATTCAGAGATATTTTGTCCATTATGATGCATAGGGGAGGGTGACATTCACCGCTTTGTCACCTCGGCCTTAGCATAGAAAAATATCTCTCTTTGTCAGCTCATCCTTGACAGTGAGGAAGAAAGTGCAGCTGAGCTGACGTTACTGTTACCGTGGTAATTGTGTTTCTCTTCAGTCCATGTCATCTTCAGAGAGAGCCACTCAAGCATGGATTATGTTTTTGCCTTATGTCTCCCTCCCTAGCAGAATTTTAATTCTGTTGTTTTTCCAGATGAACAAAGCGGCCAGCGTTCACTCCCTCCCTCCTACAAAGGCAGTCAGCGAGAGCTCTAAGTCCAGCTATGCATTTGTACCGTTTCGTTTCCTTATATTCATTTTGGCTGTCCTCCGTGAAGTGCTTTAAGCTATAGTGGCTAATTCTTTAATGGAAGTGCATCTCTCTTAAGCTTGTTGCTGTTGTCTGGACACTGATATCACCCTGCAGCAAAGCTGCTACTGTGGGAAAATACATACAGTCAATTATATACGCATTGTTGAAGCTCTGTGCAGGAATTATGGAAATTATTCGTCAATTAACCCATCAAAGACGGCTTGCTTTATCATCACCCGAGCAAAGTTCACCGCAAATAGCCATCAGAAAGAGAATGGTGCAGTCTGGTGCAGTTTAGGGTGTTGCCGGCTTCTTCCAGATGCACATTTATAAGAATCCAGTCACAGAAAACAGCTTTTTGTGCAACGGTAGAATGGAGAAATGAAATGAGATAGATGCACAGAGAAAGAGACAGAGAGACAAAAAGAGGCAGGCGACAGTGTTAATCTTGTCTGCAACATTACTAATGGAAATGTTTAACAAAGTTTTTTTTAATATATATTTTTTCAATGCTAATGAAGATGAGATGACAAAGATGCGATAGATGACAATAATTAAACCATTTTAAACAAATTAAACAAAACATGCTTAAAATATGATGAGGCAAAGATAACTAAGATATTAATGCAGTAAATGATTTTAGAAGAAGATAACTGCAGTAAGAACTGGTTGAAAAGATCTAATTATAGTATGTTGAAAGAGCTGAAACTGAAAGAGCTGAACAGCGATGTGTATGTATTTGCACAGATAATGAAGCAAACTGACAGACAAACTTGAGTGTTAGTCAGAATGTGCAAGTTGTTGTTGCCATAACACGTTACACTTCTGAAATATTCTGAAACGTTTCTAAAGTGGAAAATTAATAACAGTCTTTAATGCATGAAGAACACAGTAACTGAAAAATAACGAATACCTTGCCCATCATAATGGCTTTTTTGTTGTTGTTGTTTTTTGTTTTTTGATGATAAATCTCTTCTGTGATTTGATACATTTAAATAAAGTTTATACTTTTTTCAAAATGTACACAATTTTGTTAATGTTTGAGCTACTAAAATATTTACATTTAATTTTTTATTTATATAAATATATTACATCATTTCAAATGATTATATGATCATTATTTTATATACTGTATATTTCAGTCTAAAATCTAACTAAAATTTGACTACACATTACTGAAATGTAAGATTATTTGTTTAATGTATGGTCTACTAAAAGAAATTAAATGTTTTTTTTTAATATATTATTAGATATTTATCTAATTTAGAGTAATTTACTGTACAGTAGATTAGATATTTGTGCACTGTATATTTCAAGCATTTCAAAAAATGGACAAAATTAATGAATATGAAATGAAGAAAAATTGGGGGGGATTTTTTGAGTGGATTTTTTTTTAGGATTTTTGTTTGTTTGTTTAAAGTGTGGAATACTAAAATTCTTGTTTTATTAAAATTTTTATTTTATTATAAAATTATTTTATTTCAAATGATTGTGTGATAATTCTATGTACTGTATATTTCAGTCTAAATGAACGAATATGACATGACAAAAGGCTAAATTTTCAGGACAAAAGAAAGAAAAAAAACTGAAATTGAACACCACCGACAGATGAGGACAGGGTGAGTTAGGGTGAGCAAAAGAAAAAAAAAAGAAAAAAAAGTTCTCTGAGCATGTCATTGCGTTCACAGTTGGCCCTGCCCAGATGTCTGAGGTGAAATAAACTCAGTGCATAAATCCATAACCATCCAGCTGCTCTCAGTGCTTGACTTACTTGAACAAAGCATTGAAAGGTAAACAAACGCCCCAGAATAACATCTGCCCTAATTTCCTGTCATGTCTCAAAGGGTCCTAATGGGCTCTTATAGTGACTAAACTTAGCGTGTAACCTCTGCTCATCCCTCAGTACCCGATAGTTCTGCAAACAGAGTTTTACCCTACAGCGTTCATTTTGTTTAGAGAGGCGATAGGATGTGCTACAAGCGGGTTCAAACAGCCAAGCCATAATAGACTTCACATTTATTTCCCACAGCCACACCTGCTTAATTGCACGCTTGATGGCAGGTCGTTCATGTGGATTCCCAAGTCAGTATTTGTTTCATTGCCCCGTCCACTGCATGCTTTTAGACTTCATGAGGTGTAGTGTTGCGAGCAGAAAAATTGTAACATGCATTTACGTTGAAGGCTCCATCGGCGTGCAGGAACTCACCACGAGCAATCCTGAATAATGTATGATGCCTCTGAGCCAACTCATCCTGTTTATCATGATTGTTGAACATACATTTCCCTAATCCCTGTGGCAACCATAGCTCCTGTGCACTGCAGTATTCTAACAGGGAGGGCCTGCGGCTCCACCATGTGATTGCTGATTCTCCGGATGTCACCTAGCGAGCTAAACTCAAAGAACTTCAAAATTCAGGGAGAGTGTATTCAGATGTAGACAGATTAGACCATTTGCATGTCTGTGAATGTGAGATGGAGGCGTGGCCTAGTAGTGATTAACAAATGCATATGAAATGTTGAGCACCTATGCAGCTGATGCAATTTGCATCTGGCTTGTGTCATTTCCTGAAACTGCTCTTCCTTGCCTGCAGCATTTCCAGTTCTTTTCTATTATCCCTATCAGTTAAATGGCAAAAAGGCCGAAAATAATAATAATAATAACAGTAAAAGCGTATTTTTTGGGCTATCAGTTTACAAACTATTGTAGAGCATGCTATATGTGTCCAGAAAAGATTAAAATCATGTTAAATAATAATTTACTTTGTTAAAATGTTATCAAATTATGTATATTACATAAAATATTATGTAATTGTGCATATTAAGGATACATGAGATGCAATTTCATGAAATGAGCTTTAGCAAGTCAGACATTTATGTCAGTACAGACAGTAATGTCTTTGAATTATTTAAATTTTTCTTTATCATTCAGCAAATATTGCTGTATGTGACACAACTAAAACCATAAAAAGGCATTACCATATTTAATTTCAGCTAGTTGCCAAGGTAACATTTCTTATTTTCATTTAGTTTAAGTACTAAAATAACTACAACTAAAAACTAAAGTAAATAAGTAAACTGAAACTAAAACTCAAGAAAAAAATATATAGTCAT